CGTACGGCCTGTGAAAGTTTCCTCCAGTAAGTTGCTAACTCAGGAGCCAGAAAAGCTGAAAAGCTGAAATTTTAAGGGCAACCCCTTTCCTGCCAATTCTGGCGGCCAGTCTTAATTTGTTTAGCTAGAAGCATTTGCCGAAAAAACCGGTGGCAGTAGCGACAAAAACTGTGGGGAACTATGCAAAAAACGCATCTTCGCACGGGCAGCCCGTGTGTTGGCCAATTATTTTAAATTGTTTTCTAGCTTTTCACTTCAACGAATGGATGGCAACAAGGTCACCCTTACAACAATGTCTTTCCCCTCTCCCACCACCTCTCCCAAGCATATGCGGAGCAGTTCATCGAAGCAGTGGAGCAGCGGCTGTTGCTTTTCGACATGTACAAACCACATTTACCCTTCTGAATTCCTAATGTTTCCTGAGTGAAATGAGCGGAAATGAAAAAACCGAAGTGTAATCAAACGTTTGTTCACCTTCCCTCCTTTTTTCCCAAAAATTTCACTGCTCTACTTCCCCTTTAGAAAATGGTGCATTGGTTTACAGCTGAGCATAATATCGTTTTAACACTGCTAGCGCATTGGAAATGTGAGAAAAATTACACAGTTCAAATTCGAAATAAAAATTGAAACCTGTTGGATGATGCTCCTCAGATTATTCAGCCTCTCCTGTTCATCAGCTAGCATTTGCTGCAATCTCGCAACCTCCTTTGCCGAATCTTTCGATGTATCAACTCTAACAAATTGACCGATCCGACCTCTAAAAGACTCAGAATTAACGAAGCTTTTTCCCCGTCACCTAGAACATCTGAAGCAAATGTTAATTCATAGATTAGCCATTCTTCTAGCCTGGATGGCAATTTTCTATCAACTACAATCATGTGCATCTCGCATCTACATCAAAATTCAAAAATACTGGATCGATACAGTTAGTATCGCCGATTTCCAAGCGCTTTTTAGCAAACTGCGGGTACCAGCCAACTATCTATTATGAACAGAAACAAAGTAAATCAAAACGCTCTTCGTATTCCCTTTTTACGAGAGGCGAAGGCACCTGTAAGTATTTCAAGAAAGCACCCGGCCCAGCATGGTTATCTACAGCTCTCTTAATTGAAAACAGCACATAAGTGAGATAATGAAGATTGTAAAACCGTGATATGTATATAGAAAAAAGCGGATTTTAATTCCTAGCATGTGCAAGCACCATCGAAACAAAAAAAAATAAATAATGGCGCGCACCAGGCAGCTAGTGCGATCATGCGTTTTGTGCAATTCCGTCCACCGAACGACTACTTACTAATGATTTTCATTGCTCTGAATTTAAACTTGAGAGGCTGCACGTGAGCAGGTAACAGCCTCCCAAAATTTCAGCTTCCTAGATCCCGCAGTTCCCGAGATAATGATTTATCCGCCAAAAGTTTCACGGAGTCGTATATGTTACCCAAGCAGGGGACATATCCATAAAATTTCAGCCTCCTAGCTTCCGTGGTTCCTGAGATCATAATTTCCCACGTCAAAGCTTTTACGAGGTCGTACCTGTTATCTACGGGTACGGGAAGGTTGAATTTAAATCTGCGAAGTCACACGTGGGTAGGGAACATTCCCCTAAATTTTCAGCCTCCTAGCTTTTATAGTTCCTCAGTCGAAAGGTGCGGACAAGTTGCTGCGGACACACACACACACACAGAAAACCCCGTGACAATATGGGTTTTGTACTGCTGTTACACAGCATAAAAACAAGTCGTGAAGAGACTGGCCGTCCCATCAACAAGGTCGACATTTCAGTCTTCTACATAACAGCAGCGCTACTTCTCACAATACTATGCCCGTCAGCATTTCAGCAAAAAAGACCCTAAAAACCG